ATAGCATCAAGAGTCTATAATCTTACTGTTGAGGTTTTTGGCGACATTTAGAATGAGTTGCATTGCACTTGCCATTATTTATCTGCTAAGGCGCCGGGGGTCGAAGTATTGGAGGCAATTATTGTAGGGGAGGCTGTCGGTGATCAAAGCTCCTACGGCGAACGCTCTGTCCTCTCACTTCCAAAGTTTACTCACGAAGTGTTAACTTGTGGGCTTCCGGTGATGCCCTTACCGTGTTTAAGTTTTTGCGTTTGCAGTCCGCATTAGGTGGCGTGCGGCAACCTACGTGGTACAATACTCGCCCAAAGTTATATAATGCTCGGCATTCATGTTGTTTGACGAGGGTGATTGAGTTTGTTGCCCTAAACTCATCAACGTCCCTAACGTCAGCTTCCTGCACCGTCTCACACCTGACGCTGTGCTGGTATCGACTTGGGTTTATTCGGGCCGTGCTCGGGTATGAACAGAACACGGCGGTCGCTTTCGCGACAATGGAGTGCGCCTTTGGTTCAGATTAGTGCCTGCCCAGGTAGTCTTGAGTCGGGCTGGTACGCCAGTACCAATCAGCAGTCTCTCCAGCAATTGAGCCGATCCCCGGCTTACTTCCGATCTTAGCCCAACACGGATCTAAAACAGGGACGTGCGCGCCGGATTTGGGATCAAGCATGTGGATCGGCTTGTCTGTGGAGAAGTCTGCCAATCGGGAAGTCAAATGGTGGAACGAACCGCCAATCAGGTAGGGACCAAGCATGCTTCAGCTGTAAATTGGCAGCCATCGCAGGTCTAGGTCTCTCGCAGGGCGCTGCCACAGGCCGGCGGATAGCTTCAAAACCATGCTTCCCCTCGCGCATTCCATCTCGTGTCAGTCTAAAGCAAACCTCATCGTTGATCACACTTCACAGTCGCTTTCAAGTAACCAAACTTTGCCAACATGCGCTTCTCCATTATCGCCGCTGCCGCTGCATTGAGCTCTACAGCTCTGGCCCAAGGTCTTCTTGACCAGATCCCGCAATGTGCTGTGAGTTATTGACTATAACTGCCGGCGAACGAAAGCTAACGAAAATGCAGCAAGCCTGCTTCGGTGGCAACTTAGGCAGCTGCGGTGCCACTGACATTGCATGCATTTGCGAGAGCAAGATTATCGACGCTGTATCTTGCTGTGTGTTCGCTACTTGCTCACAGTCGGATATCGCTGGTATGTCGCCTGCCATTTCGCGTCCCGTGCCAGCTAACAAGCATCACAGCGACCACTCAGTTCGGCGTCGAGATATGCAAACTTCAGAACATCGACGTTAACACCCAACCCTCCTGCCCGTCTGGCAGTGCGACAGCATCTGGCAGCGCGACACCGTCTGCTAGCGCGGCCCCGTCTGGCAGCGCGACCCCTTCTGCCGGCAACTCCTCTGTCACACAAGTGTCTGGCACCGCCTCCATGACCCCTTCAGGAAGCGCCTCCGCCACTTCAGCATCAGCGGCTGGCAACACTGGAGCAGCGCCCATCCAGACTGCAGGCGCGGGAGTTGGTCTTGGACTTGCCATGGTCGGACTGCTCGCTGCTTTGTAGGAGAACACTGTTATCGCCGTACGCTGTTGGACACTTCCCCAGCGCCCGTTGTTCGAACGGTAGCCCCAGCCATGCACCTGACGCGTCGTGTACCATACAACTTTCCGACTCGCGCCTCAAGAAAACCTTCCTGCAAACATCGATTGTTTACACCGAAGGCATGGCCTGGTTTATTTGTAGTGTATTCCCACAGTTTGGAAACTTCTTTGTTTAATAACATAATCTATTTCGACATTTACAACTGTTACTAGATCTGTAGCATTAGTGCTAACTTGTAATAACAAGTCACCGTGAATGCATCCTCTTTGGAGACATTTGATTGATGTATCCCCTTAAAGGGAGGTGCTATGAAACTACATACATCGATGATACCAGGCTGGAAAGCCTGCCTGGCTTATTTGGCATGAAACCACTTCAACTCTCTTACTTTAGAACGCGCTGGTAATAATTACAGTCTTCCAGACGCACACAATGACTGACTCCATCTTTTGTTCGCGACTGTACGACGTGCTGCGGGATAATCCAGCTGATCCGCCCAATCCCGTGCCCGTGCGGCTTATTCTTGAACATTCGAAGTTGAAGCCTCGTCGGCCCCTAGTCGGGACGCGCTCGGCCGCTACTATTTGCCATTAGCTGCCTTCCACCGAAGCATGTTCAGCTCCCGCGGCCCATTGGACGATCTCCACACCCCAGATCTTCAACCTTTCAACATCCCCAGCATCCATCACTGTCAGCCTTCATCATCAGTCCTCACTTCCAGCCTAATCCCTTTTATCCTCACTTTTTTTGCGCATGCATTCCACGTAGCTGTTGCGACGCTCTACCGCGATAAGCACTCCTAAGGTCGTGCGACGATGGGTCTCGGCATCCTCTCTGACCATGCACTCGAACAGGTCCCTGGGACCGCGCAGGTATTGGAAGGCGAGCAGCGGAGGGAAATAGAAAGAAATGCAGGAAATATCATAGGGAGGTCAGGCTTGAAGTACGACAAAACTGGGACAATACTGCTTGTTCCGCAGCCGAGTGATGATCCGAATGATCCGCTTGTACGTCTTTCAAACGTCCCATTCTGGCACAAAATCTAGGCAAGTGCACATAGTTGACTGATACTCCAGAACTGGTCGCTTCGTCGTCGCGACACCATTCTCCTTCTTCTATCCTCCATATCAGTCATCGCAAGCACCCTCTCTCCCATTCTTGCCGCCAATACTGTCTCCCTCGCCATTTACTTTGGTCACAACCTAACCGACATGGCTCTGTTGACCGGCTACCACCTCTTGGGTGTCGGAGTCGCAGGTTTTCTTTTTGTGCCGTCAGCGCGTATCTGGGGAAAACGACATGTGTACATTCTGGGAACTGTGATAGTCGTGGTGAGTTGCGCGTGGGGTGGCGCGATAGGAAACAATTATGCTGGATTTCTATGGGCGAGAGTGTTTCAAGGCGTGGGCCTAGCGCCATTTGAAGCGCTCGTTAATGGTGAGTTCAAGCGTGGATATCTTTGAATCCTACTTGAAGCATACGCTAACTTTGTGTCTCGATTCAAAGCCAGTGTTGGCGATATGTATCACGTCCACGAGCGCGGAGTCCGCATGGCGCTGTCAAACTTCGCCGTCTTTGGAGGCGCGTTCCTCACCCCAGTCTTGGTAGGAGTGATTGCAGATTCAATCGGATATCAGTGGACATTCTATTTTGTCGCCATATTCTCGGGGATCATGCTACCGCTGATCATACTCTTCTGCCCGGAAACGGCGTTCAGGAGGGAAGAGAAATTTGACACCGATACTATGGGGAACTTGCTGGTTAAGGATGGAGAAGAGATGAAAATCTTGGGTAATCGGGGGTCGAGTAGCACATCTGCTGAACACGAAGCAGCTGGAAACACGGATGAAAAGGGAGCAGGAAACTCTGCGGACCAGCATTCGGTGGGCGATTCGCCACGCAAGGCTACTTTTCTCGAAAGTATGAAGCCGTTCAATGGGCGGAAAACAGATGACCGGTATCTGCACCTCCTTCTGCGGCCGTTCTCGCTGTTCTTACATCCGGGTATACTATGGGCCTGTCTTATCCAAGGCAGTCTAATCGGTTTCACGGTCCTTATCGGTGTTGTGCTTGCAGCAATTATGCTTGGTCCACCGCTTTGGTTTGGAGAGAAAGAGACAGGATACATGTAAGTTGATACATTCCGTTCATATCTTGCACCTGCATGTCCTAATCCCATTAAGGTATACAGGCGCCTTCATCGGTGCACTCCTCGGCTTCGCCCTCACCGGCCTGATTAGCGACTGGTCCGCGAACCTGCTCACGCGCCTCAATAACGGCATCTACGAACCCGAGTTCCGCATGGTGCTCGTGGTCCCACAACTCATATTAGGTTGTGCTGGTATCTACGGCTTCGGTTGGACCAGCGCAGATACGGCAACATACGGCTGGTTTTGGCCTGATTTCTTCTTCGCGCTCGTAGTTATGGGTATGGTGTGTGGTGCTGTCGCCAGTGCGCTATACATCGTCGATGCGCATCGTAAGTCTCCAAGACCATGTCATGCTTTGAGATACTGACGTATATAGGCGGCATGTCCATCGAAGCTTTCACGTGCCTCCTCGTTTTCAAGAACGTGTTCTCCTTCGCCCTGACGTTTAAAGGCTTCGACTGGGTCGTTGAGGCTGGACGGCGGAGTGGGGTAGGTGGTGGTGGGGGAATCAAGACCCTGTTTATCGCCGTTGGGAGTGCGCAGGTCGCTGTTTGTGCGTTGACGATTCCGATGTGTAAGTCTCAGGGAGAAGGTGAGATGAGGGCAGTGGCTAATCCGTGCTTTTCTAGATATCCTCGGCAAGAAGAACCGGAGTTTCTTCCACCGCCACAATGTTTTCTTTGCGGTAACGGATTGGGTGGCGGATAAACTGACGTTTTGGTAGGAGGTTGTCAGAAGGCCATTGTTGGGAGAGGATCGCTTGGGGTGTATTAATGTGGACTTCGATTCCTGCACTGTCGTTTAATATGTTTGTTTCTATCTTCTGTTGTTCTTGTCGGATTAGAGCCATCTACCCCTGTCATCGCCGCATTGATTCTGCTTCGGTTACATGAGGTTTTGGTCACGGTGTACTGGCGGATTAGTAGGCTGTTGTATGTTTTGCTCTTTTTGCGCCATGGTGGTGGTTATATCTTTTTGCCCGCGTTCGCCCCACCAGCCTAAGGCCCATCAGGACAAGCTCTCAAGCTACCGAGATACCAATATTTAGAGCAAGGAACTCGAAACCATAGGTTTTCTGAGGAATCGTGGTTTCTTCAACCATCATAAGCTCTGCATTCCCCTTGTTAAGCATGTGTACGTGATCTACGCGTACCGGATGAGCAGCTAGAGATGATTTGATATATGATGAAGCTTCCGTATCCATCTCATGTGAGATTTGAGCAACGCTTCAAGGTACCTAGGCACCCCTAATCGTCTCCATCCATCATGACATCCACAATGGCCTTCGCCTCCTCGAGATCCTCTTCACGGTAGAACTTGAGTCCATAGGAAATCATGAACTGCTCCGAATTGCCATAGTACTGTTCGATCCAATCAAGCTGGCGTTCAGTGAAGTTGTAGTCTGCCTGATGGCCTTCGAAACGTGACAAATCACCATCATCCTCCTCATCCCCGGACTCTTCCAGCTCAGACATCTCATCCTCACGCATGATGGCGCGTAAGATGGCGCGTCCCTCTTCGCGGTCTTCCTCATTGTGGATCTTCAGCCCGTGTTGTATCAGGAAGTGGTATTCGGAGCCATAGTTCTTCTTGAGGAACGTAGTTTCTTCGGCCGTGTAGGGCGCAGCATTTTGTCCCGGCGTGTTGAGTCCATTCCCAGCTTTGAACTCTTGCCACTTACGCTTCTCGGCATCGTCCCATCGACAGCCTAGCACGTACATTACGTCCTTCTTGAGCGCGTACGGGCCGAGCCTTGGCCCGTTCGGAGACCGGCGCACTTTGATTCCAAACAACGGGCTTTTGGGGTCGAAATAGGCAGCATTCCTGCCCTGGCTATCTTTGATGATGCCGTTGGATTTTCTATCTTTGCCGCCCAACATCATCACGTTATATCCATCATTGTACATGAGTGGTTGCCCAATGGTGTTGCAAATAAAGTCAGGCACGTGCAAGACCTCGTGGAGAAGAAGAGATCCATGCGAAGATACACCTGAAGCATTCGGCGAGCGCTTTGTTGGGATTTCGACGGTACCGATTCCCAGCACGGGAGTTTGCGTGTGCGGGCCGAAGAAGGGCGAGGAATTTACTGTTGATTTGAAGGGCGTGTACGTTTTAAACCAGCCTCTGTCCTTTGCGACGCTGATAGCCATATGTTAACGGTGGATACTTCTGAATGAGTCGTAGCTCACCTACTGTACGTTGGCATTGTTTAGAAAGACCCAATCGGGACAGAGGCGTGAATTGGTATCCGGATTCATCTCGTTATCAGACTGCTTGCTGTAGGTCCGCACGGGTACTTCTGGCGATCGAGGCTAGATGGACAGGAGCTGACCGATGAGTGTCACCCTATGCGGGGTGATGCGGCTGGGAGATTAGGTATATGTACTTGCGCGATTCCACGGTTGTTTGCTGCGCGCGATTGTCCCGAGGTAATGCCGCATTGACTAGGGGCAACCACGCTAACGAACATTCACCTGGGCACTTGCAGCTGGCCATTGGCGAGTTGCCCCCACTGTTGCTGAGCTGAACCGACTTCACGGGCAGACTGCATGCGCAGATAGTACGCGCAAACCAAGGAATTTAGACAACGTTGAACGGGTAATTGTTTTCGGGCATTTTGAGGTAATCGTGCGACAGTCTCCTCCGTGGCTCGCAGCTGGAGCTTATCCGGCAAATCCCTTTTGCGCGGTGCCCAATCTTGGCCGAACACGTTCCCCAAAGGCCTTCGGGAGCTCTAACTGGGAATCGGCCGCGATGATTCGCGTCCACTCAACCTTGTACAAGCAAGATACTGGTGTGCTAGTAGCTAATAGATGACTACTGGCGATTTTTGCTGTTATAAGCTTCTGACTTCGTTTGTGCGCCGAAACTTAACACATCTTTTGCGCTCAGATTACATCCATTAGACTACGACCCACTACTACAACCTCTCAAGATCATAACAAAGTTGGCTAACTGATGCTCAAGACGACATTAATAACTCACGAAAGTCCCCTCTCTCTCTCCCGTGCCTCCGCCCAAGCTCCAAGGTCGCCGAAGAACTGTTCAGATTCACCACCATGCCAGTCGCGCAACGCAAACCACAGATAGCGCACATCTTTTCCCGCTTTGATCGCGAATTCGAAATCTGGCGCATGCGTGTACAACTCCTGTTCATTGTACCAGGTGTTAGCGCACCATCATGGTAAGCAGGATTCGGTACAGACGAACCTTGATGCAATGTCGCGACCAGGTGGCATATGCTTCTAGTTCCGCAGCCGTCGATGATCCAGGTATCCTAGTGACAGCCGGCTCAGCACGCTCGTTTGTAATTAGATCCACAGGACCAGCCGCGACGAGTGGGTCAGCTAGTAGAGCTGGAACAATGCATGCTGTCTCCCAGTCATATAGCGACGTGACTCCGGGCATACAGATGTCGTCTGTGATGATCGAAGTGTTGTGTATCCCAAAGTCACCGTGCTCAAGCACTAGCCTGTACAAGATGTCGGAGTTCTCTTGCGGCAGTAGATGTGGTATCGCTTTGAGGAGAGACTGCTTCGCTGCCAGTGCGACAGGTCCCACGGTTTCTTCATCATCTTCCCATCCAATCATGTCACCTCCGTTCTTAATTGTTGCTTCAATCTTTGACTGTATTACGTGTATCCAGAATTCGCGAGTAGGCGCTACGGGTAGTCTGAAAGCATCCGGTTTGAAGTCAAAGATACGGCTATACAGGTACTTGACTGCAAAGCCAGAGGGTGGGCAATAGTTGAAGAGGGCGGCACGCATGCGTGCGAGCTGATCAAGGAGAACGGTCTGAGAGCTTTTAGTATATCTCAACGCTTCGAAAAATGACTCATACCTTTGCCTCAGCATCAAGCCCTTGCCACACATTGTTTGTGCCGTCTGATCGTTCGAACACAAAGATGCGTCGACCCGAGAGATCTGCTGGTATCTGGACTTTAGGGCCCGGTTTGAGAACCGGTGCGCGGTGATAGAGCAGGCGAGACGCGCGGACTTCTGCTTCGTCACGCAACAGGTTATATATGGCTGCTTCGAATTCAACTTCTGCGATCTGCCGCTCGACGACAAAGCCATCGAAATCCGGCATGTTGACGTCGCCGCGAGCTAAACGAACTACCAAGTCCGGTCCATCACGAACCTGAAGGTGAAATCCCTAAGCACAAATCAGTAAACTATAGTTGGCAAGCGAGCTGATTTAGAATGGCGTTAAGCGTCAATATTGTCTCCGCCGAGCCTATCGTGTTGGGTCGGAGGGCTAGATCAGCCGACTCGAGGATGGCCATGATCATACACGTACATAGTTGTTGGAGCCTTTATCGATAGTCGGGATATCTGTTACTTTAACTTGGAGCTTCTCTTCAATGTCATCGATGAGCAACTGCACGTTCCAGACGTCTTTAAAGGGACTAGCATTGTCCCGCGCTAGTGTCAGAATATGTTTGCCGTCGTACTCTTCTCCATTCAATCCAACGGGCCACTCATCGCGCCAGGGCATACTTTCTTAGAGTTCGATGCGACTTCGCGATTTCTTCGTGTGGTCGATATTCGTGAGACAGGTGGAAGGTGAGTGATCAGTTTGGTATTACTCGATGCCAATTTGTGTTTGCCTTCGCTCGCTAATCGTTACACAAAGGCGTCTAGACGGCGAACGCCCCGTGCGTTGCATGATGCAAGGGTACGCCGTATAACAGCAATAGATATGAGAAGACCTTTGTATACTACTCATACCGAGCCTCATCCGTCCCGCTTTCTACTCTGTTGAGAAGCAGAGGTCAAAGACCGTTGAGCAAAGTCGTTATGTTTAGGGTAATCTGTTGTGATGAGTACACGAGACCGACAGAGCACTATAGCGCCTAGAGGAGGTTTCGCAACCTCCGGCTGCGCGCACGCGTGGGAGACGCGCCAGTAGAAAAGTGGGTCTTGTGACGTCATGTCGACGCGTCGACGGTGCGTGGAGTTTTGGCAAGTGCAACGCGCATCCTGAATTTCCACCACGCAGCGCCATAACAGCAACAACTCTGAGGGAGCAACGCATTTGGTTTAATGAATATGAAGTAAGCAACTCACTCCGATGGTTTAGGTCGTGTATCCATGAATAACGTGATCGATTTAAAGAGTGGCACGAGGAAATGGCACGCGCTTGCCAAACCCTACAGTTTCAAAATTGGAGAAATACATCAACGAAAGGAAGCGCAACTACGGAAACACTAGCGAGCCAAATTGGCTTCATCACAAATAACCCGCCCAAGATTGCGCTGCCGAAGCCGAGTTCGCTGCAGCAATCCCTCCGGCGACATCGCCCTTCGAGCTACCCAAGCCAATCTCGAAGCTGTCGTAACCACAGCTGGTGGGCGCGCCAGCTTCAGAGCCGTCTAAGCCAGGGACGATCTGCCAATACAACTACAATGCACGTTAGCATGCTGTCCATCGAGTATTTGTTCTTGTCGTGCTTACCCAAGGAACTCCAGCGTCGTTGAATACTTGGACCTGCGTATCGAAAGAGTCCTGGTAGTCGACCGAGACACCCCACTCTTCCATCATGATGTTCTTGCCTGCAGCCCTGGCTCCGCTCAAGACTTCCCTGTCGCCCGTGATGTAGTAGGCCCAGTCGGACGCCTTGCTCATGTATCCGTGCATGCTGATGATGTCGATGGCATCGCACTGCATAGCCTTCTCCAACGTGTTGAACTCGTGGTCACAGCAGTAGTGAGAGCCGCCGACACCACCTGTGGCAACCTTGATGTTGGATGATCCAAGAGCACTGCGCAATGCTCCAGCACGGCCACACAACCAGTCGTCCGGGTCATTGGCGTTCAACAGGTCGATTTGTCCGATCAGCGGCTCGTTCTGGAGGTCGAAAGCCATAATGACCTCTTCCATATCTTTCCAGGCTTTGCCAAAGTTTGGTGACTGGTAGTTTAGCATCTCGTTGAGTCGGTTGTCGTAGTCTGCTTTGGCGTTGGATGAAGAATAGAAGGTAGGTGCGTCGCCATACTTCTGGCAGTATGCATCGCACCCCGCGCTACCCCCCAGTGTATTGGCGTTATGGGGAGATATGATTGCCTTCATTCCGTTGTCGTGCAGGAGTTTGAGAGTGTCGTCAAGCTTAGCTAGAACGGTGGCATCGTACACACCGACCGTCTCTTCGAAAGCTGGCACGGAATTTTCGATAGTGCTGCCCTTCAAGCACCCTGTAGCAACGTTCGTCGCTGCACAAGGATTGTCAGTACTGCAAATCTTCCCTAAAGTCCACTGCTAAGAGGATGCAGAATTATTTCAAAGGTGTTCATTATTGTTCAAATGCTACTCACCCCACAGCCTCAGGACCTTGGCGCCCCATCCAGCAAGAGTTTCAACATACTCCTTCTGCTCGGATGCAGAAAGGGCGTGGAGAAAGTACTCATTACTTCCTGCGAATGAAGTTGAAGTTTGCCTGCGAGTTGGTACCAAACCGTTGACTACCGTTGTCGATAGCCCCAGCAAGGAAGTGATAGCCACAAGGCTGCGCATCGTGAAAGTTGGCGGTGCGTAGATGTATACGAGTTATAAACAGATGGGGGTAGTAATTGGTGAATAATTTAGTCTTTGCATCCCGAAGACTATATATGCCATGGTGGCCATCCAGGTCAACCTTGCGAGGGGCCGGATACATTCGAATGCGCCTGTGTTGATGGTTTGGAGACATATGGGGCCAGCCTTGCCAGCCACATTTGCCGTGACATCACCTCAAATTACCAGCTAATTTTATCTCATCGAAACTTTACGGATGAGCTAACCTTGATTGTGATGGCTGTCCGTGACAGCTGCGGGAGTACCTCCACGGACGCTGTGCATGCAGCTGGGCCGCCCCAAAGGCCGCCCCTATTGGCCCGATAGAAACTCTAGAGATAAATGGCGACGCACCCGCCGGATTTAGTCAATGGCAGACACAGAAGAGAACGCCATGTTCTCACCTGCCGCTATCTGACCCCGATCATTTCTCGTTCAGCGTTGCTGCTGCACAATTCTTCAGCCTTGCCGGTGTGTTGAGGTGAAAGTCTATTTATGCGTACGTGGGCGTCCAATCAGAGTTCAGCCGTCTCGGGTTCAAGTACGTGCATACACATGCCCTTGCTATCACATCAAGACAGGCATTCCCAGCGAAGGAAGGCTGGGCTAATTTGCGACATGTGCGAAAACGCCCTGCGTACAAAATACGCCGGTCCGCTGCCAACCCAGCTTTCTCCACAACTCTTTCCTTAGCCTCCTTGGTGTGAGAAAGATAGCTCGTGTCGATACACCCCCAGTGAGATACACTAGCATACACCAATATGTTTGGAATCCGTGTCTTTCCCGCTTTTGCTCTTCTCCTAGCCTTGACCAGCATAGTAGGCGCTAGTGGTCCGACGAGTATCTTCATTGACCAGATTGAAGAATACGCACTTCTTGCAACATGCGCCGAGCTCGAATTGTCGACTATCGTGCGTAACATGAAGTGGGGATGCGGAGATGGTGGCAGCTACCAGTCGTTCACTTGCTGTAAGTTTCCGTCGTGGAACGTCGCCAACGTCCAAAACATGCGCTGACGTTGGCTCTGCCTTCCCATAGTCTGCTATGAGAGCTCTGCCAAATTCTCCAGCATGATTGGGGCTCATGTCATGACCCAGTGTCCAGACGACCCTTCGCAGAATACGACGGCGCTGGAGGTGTTTAGCAGTTATTGTGATATCGGCGGATCGAAGCTGGCTGAGATCGCAGGTGAATAGCTCGTTATCGTTGGCCCAGAAAGTGACAAGCTGACATGAAGACAGCCGCTACGACGTCGATGCCATCAATAACGTCATCGCTGTCATCTTCCTCTGCTTCTCCGGCATCGACGCTGCAATCAGCATTTTCAACACCTACCTCAACAACACCGATCTCCTCACCTGAACCAACTACATCACCTGAGTCGGCACCCGCTCCCAAAAACACCTCTCGAAGAACTGCGATAGTCATAGGTGTTACTGTTCCGGTAGTCGTTCTGGCCTCAGCCTTCGCGGCCTTCTTCCTATTCCGTCGCTACAAGGACAAGAAGCATAGTAAACCCGTCTATTACGAAGCGGACGGTTCTTCTTTGGATGCAACAAGGGGAGGCACATGCCATGAGGTTAGTGAGGAAAAGCAGATTCCCGCGGAATTGGCAAGCTCGGATCCTCACGAGTTGGACGCCGACAGCGGAGGTAAGGTTTGACGAAAAGCGGTTTCGGTTGCTGGAGCTCTTTGGGGTTCAGGCTAGGAAAGTCAGCATCGTCTGGAGTACAATCGCTTGAACATTTTCCTATGATGAGCGTCAGCGCAGCAGGTGTGTAGTATCTTGGCGAGGTTTTTCAAGAATCAAGAGGCTCTAGCTCTAACGTCAACTTGCCGCTCGGTCACTGCAGCATAGCAGCGAGGTTCAGTCAATCATGGATAGAAACCATTGGGCGGGCATAATAGTGAATAGGTTGTCCGAATCACGACCAGGATAGTAACTCAAGCTTTCTGACAAAGTGGAGCTCCTGCTCCACTTCATCTCTGGGCCAACTCCATCGGCATCATATTCTCGCAGTTCGTTCAGAGTGCCACGATGAGTCTGGCAATTCTCGTGATGTCAAGAGTCTCCCCTTCTTTGATGATCAACAGATGTACTGTCAAGCCACGTTCGTGCTTCATGATGGCGACCAGCTCCACTAGCATCGCATGTACGGGAAGATGACATTTGTCCAGAAGAATGGAAGATGAGTCCCTTTCACCCAGTCCTATAAGCAGCCTGCGCGGCTTTAGGAGTCCGTGCATGTGTCCAAATTCGATCGTTGTGAGATGCGGTTCCGCAGATTTCCTTCGGACCGGGCGGTAACATCTGAATGCCCTGCATTTGCGCATGTTGAGACATCCAGATTCCCATACACCACTGAAATGGCTAGGCGACAATACGATCGTCGGGCTTATTTGGTCCCATGTGATGCAGATTAGTGCATACTAATCGCGCTTGAAGCTTGCGACCCCGAACACGAGTCATTGACTCTGTATGTGTTCGCATGGTGAATACTAGCACTTGAATGCGACTTGAAGTCGAAAGCATTTCCAAATGCAGCTCCATGGATGACAGAACGGTGATACGGTCACTCTTAGAGTAGAGTCCCGACAACACTGACATTTGTTCTGTTCGAATTACCAGAATCGGCAAGCCGGCGTTTCCGTCGGCATCATGTTCGCCTTGACAGAACGGTGTTATGCGGGGTACCGGGGTAGCTGTATCTACCCCGCAAACTAGACATTCGGAGAGCAATCGTATCGATCGCCTGTGCGTGGCGTTGCCGCGGAGTCTTTCCGCATTCAGACACATCTAGTACCAGGCCTTCACACGCGACATCTCCGTTGATTCCCTTAGGGCGTCCGGTCGGATGGGATACTAGAGGAGATCGACATGGTCTCGAAACGTTACTGGAGTGTGGCAGCGTCCACAGGCGAAACGCAATTCGCCCTGGTTATCGGGCGTGAGACGGTGGCAGGATCGCGAATAGCGTGGCCGTCATGCAGGATCCGCCCAGGAGGGGTATGTCGTGCGTTGACGTATATATAGAGAGTGTATCGCCCATGATGTGTCTATCCAAAGGATCGACAGTAACTTTTCAGTCTCACAGCCTCCTCTTCATTCCAGAATCACTCCTCCCACAATGGTCCACTTTCGGACAGACATCGGTGCGACGAACGAAGCGGCGGATCCGAATAACGAGAACTATGCAAAAGAGCTCGAGACCGATGTTCTGATTGTAGGCGCCGGTTTCGGCGGCGTCTACCTGATGCACAAACTCCGCCAGCAGGGCTTCAAGTGCAAGATTATGGAGGCTGGTTCCAACATTGGTGGTATCTGGCACTGGAACTGCTATCCCGGAGCTCGGGTCGATTCCCAGGTCCCCATCTACGAATACAGTATGCCTGAGATCTGGAAGGTATGTAACAATCTTGTCGTATCGCCATACGAAGACTAACATTGGCGGATAGGACTGGAATTGGTCCTGCAGATACCCCGGTACGGAAGAGCTCCAACAGTATTTCGACCACGTCGAGCGAAAGCTGGATATCAAGAAAGATTGCGCGTTCAACACCAGAGTTGTCGAGGCTCAGTTCGACAAACCCTCCTCGAAATGGGTCGTGAAGACCGAAGATGGCCGGACAGCGCGCTGCAAGTATTTCCTTTTGGCTCTGGGCTTCGCGGCGAAGCGTCATTTCCCCGACTGGCCAGGAATGGACAAGTTCGAGGGCGAGATCCACCACAGCTCATTCTGGCCAGCATCTGGAGTAGACGTCAAGGGCAAACGTGTTGCCGTCATTGGCACAGGATCGACAGGTGTTCAGATCGCCCAGGAGACATCGAAGACGGCCGCCAGTATAACCCAATTTGTTCGCACGCCCAACCTTTGCCTTCCGATGCAACAGAAAGCTCTCACAAAGGAGGAGCAGGACAGACGGAAGCAGGGCGAATACCAGGAAATCTTCAAGAAAAGACTGACAACGTTCGCTGGCTTCCAGTACGACTACATCGAGAAGAACACCTTCGATGACTCACCCGAGGAGCGCGAGGCGTTCTACGAGAAGATGTGGGAGAACGGTGGTTTCGAGTTCTGGCTGGTAAGCGATAGATGTGAAGCCCCTACATCAGCAGACACTTACTGTGATCGCAGGCAAACTACAAGGATCTGTTATTCGACAACAAAGCCAACCGCGAAGCCTACAACTTCTGGGCAAAGAAGACGCGAGCCCGGATAACGGATCCTGAGAAGCGTGAGATTCTTGCGCCTCTAGAGCCACCGCATGCCTTTGGTACCAAGCGACCGAGTCTGGAGCAGAACTACTACGAGATGCTCGATAAGCCCGAGAACAAGGTCATCGACGTGAACAAGAACCCGATCAAGGAGGTTACTGAAAAGGGTATTGTGCTGGCTGACGGTACTCTACACGAGTTCGACGTCATCGCCCTTGCAACCGGCTTCGATTCAGTGACAGGTGGTATGAAGAACATGGGACTGAAGGATGTCGATGGTGTTGAGCTGTCAGAAAAGTGGAAG